TCAGTCAGGGTATCAATGGCTTCTCGTATCTTGCGTTTTCTTGTATTGGCAGAGACGGAAATGTTGGTAAGTTTTGATGTACAATCAATATACACAAACATGTCAAGCGAGAAGACAGTCACGCCCTGCTAGAGCTTTTGAAATGAGAGGAGGATATCCTGGACGCAGAGCGGATACGGAAGGTACCTGAAAGTAAGTACCAGATATTTTACACTCAACGACAATATCTATGAGCAAATATTTGGACTATCGATGGAATCTCCACTCAAACCTCTTTTGGCAAATGTAGGACATAAATTAATTGTAGAAGGAAATGGGGAAGTCGCTGCTGCAACCAAGAGTGTTTATGAGATACCTGGATGACTACTTTGCACTTTGGTCGAATGGTCAGGAAAATTTGAATGAGTTCCTCAATTTTATAAACCAACTTGATGGAAGAATTAAATTCAGATTGAAGGTGGATATTGAGGTCATTCGATCCAACGGAATACTCAAGAGGAGACTATTTAAAAAAATCACATGTTGGAATAATCCTCAATTTCCAGTCTCATCACAACCACAGACTGAAGTTTGGAATAATGAAGAGTATGATCACCATAAGATTAAGAATAACGGACACTGAATTGTGGAATGAGGAGTTGGAGAAATTGACCCGGATTTGCCTTAGTAACGGGAACCCCAGAGAATTTATAGAAAGAAATATAGGGGCCATAAAGAGAAGATTTCAACTAGGGTTTTATTAAAATAAGATCAGAAATCAGGAGGACGTGAAAAAGTGGATATGCTTGTCCTCATGTAAACTGAGCCAGAAATTGAGACCGTTGCTAAAAGAATCGAATATCAAAGTGATAACACAAGAAAACACCCTTAAAAAGTTTGCCGACGCAATAATAGAATGTTGAAAAATTTGATTGCTCGCAAGTCTATAGCATCAAATGCGACAACTGTAAGCAGAGACATATTGGTGAAACAGGAAGAAAAATCAGCCTGCGAATAAAGGAACACCAAAGACTCTGCCGAGGCATGGGCAGAAAAAGGGCTGAAATAGCAGAACAGATAACACGGACGGGACGAGAAATCGACGGAAAGACTGGCTAAATATGGTGGAAATACAAGATACGAGAAGCCATTGATATCCTGAATGAAAGAAACCTAATGAGTAGGAAGCTTGAAGAAGGCAGAATTAGCGAAAACTTTGCATACTGCCTAAGCACATTCGGAAGGATCAGGGAACAGCAATATCGGCAAAAAGAAGACGATTGGACAAAGGAAATATTTTTAATTATGGGAAAAGAAATTATAAGGAGACCAGAGAAGAAAAATCGGAAATCAAGAGAAGACGCCTAGATTGAGCTTATTCAAATCAAGTAGACCCATCTCATTTGGCGTCGGCACGCAAAAGAAAGTGGTGGTGACCCTTGATAAGTTTGCACATAGACGTGGACCATGAAGTAAAGGCTTGACCACGAGATTTACTCGGTTCTCATGCCTCAGAGCGATAAGGGATTCTGCGGCGTCAAGTTAGGTTGCCAAGCCAATAGAGAATCCAGACTTTAGGGGCTTGCTCAATGAGGCTGGTGAATACGTGCTATCACAGGCTTGAGGAAGAGTGCAGAACATAACGCTTTGAGTAGCACGGATATAGTGGCAGCGATGGCGTGAAATCACTGAAAGAGGCATATAAGAGAAGGCTCCTACGGAGCAAGAGACTCTAAAAGGACCCTAAGGGAGCGGATTGAGGATTAAACCGCAGACTTGGATCAACACTTCCGGCACAGTGATAAGGATGTGGAAACTAGTGAGGAGTGTGAATAGGTTTCATAAAGATTTAGATAAACAAGTAAGAAATTGCGATATTGAATGGCTGATACGAGGATACATGTTAGGTGAATAGCACTGGACAGAGGGAGAGATACCAAAACCGTTTATAACACAATTAGTCAGAGGATAGATTTCACTCGTCTCTTTGACTAGTCGTAGTGTGGTGCTAAGAATGGCAAGGCTAACTAAGGATGCCGACTACGATGCTGGCGAAATGTCTGGGAATGTACCAAGTCCACGGTCTGAGTCTGGTAATTATCATGCATACTATGGACTCCATACAATGTGCGTTCCTCTAGGTCTTCCTACTAATATGACCAAGTTGCGAAAACAATGTCAAACAACTTCTTGTTTTGATTAGGCTCACTTTAGACGTCTTCTTTCCGATTGTTCATATGCGGTCTCCTCGCGATTTATTTTCCTCATATTCAATATTTTTCCTTGATCTAGTCGGATTCTTTTGATGATTTCGCTGTTTCTGGATCGCCTCCGAATTTGTTTGAGCAATTCGCAGTTTTCGTTAATCCTGCCTTTTTTCTAACCTCTTATTAATCAGACTTATTTCAGTAAGGATTTCAATGGTCTCTAGAAGCTTGAATTTTACTTTACTTTCAACATATGCAGCGAATTTTTCCGTCTGTTTCATGTCCCGGAACAAAACTCTCAGAACCGTGGGGTGGGATGAAGGAACGGTGGGGGCGGTATGTGAATAGGTATCAGTAAATCTGCTCCAAACGGCACACCCTAACCAGGTTTAAATATTCAAGTAATAAATTGAGATAGTGAAGGGGGAGGATACGATGATGTATGAAAAGTAAATGCACCAGGATAGGAAAGACAACATAATCTTTCAACAGACAGTTGGTCAAATGATCGACTTTACTCGCCTCTTTGCCGAGTTGCAGTTCAGTGGTAATAATGACAAAGCTCAGTGACGATGCAAGCGTAACGTTTGGGAGTGCACAAACTCCACGGCCCGACGCTGGAAGTCATCATGGATACTATAGATTCCGGACAAGGTGTGCTCCCCTAGGTCGCCCTGACAATACGATCAAGTTGCGAAAGTAAGGTCAAACCACTTGTAAGCAAAATAACATACATTAGGGAAAAGCAAAAGCAATCTCTTACTTGCAAGATCAGCTAAATATGTTCGGCCAATCCGTTGGAAACGATCACGCGATTCCTTGTCATCGGGTTGATGAAAGAGGAGAAGCAGAGGTAAGCCCTCCTCAGTTATTTCTTCAGCTACACCAAAGGTGAGCTCACGAACCACTGGAATACATTTGGGTCGAGCCCACGATAGTAGATCGGCAAATTGAAGAGGAGCAGCATCGAGCAAGGGTGGGTGGTGGATGGGCTCGGAGGCCAGCTTAATGAACAAATTATAAAAAGGACAATATACGCATTTATCACAACGAATTAGTCGTAGTTATGGTATTAAATAGTATTTTTTGGGATAAAATTCGAGCAATATAGACATGAATATGTCATATATGCAGGAAGACACTAGATGACCTAATAAATACTTAGCTTTCTGTTTTTGACGTAAGGTGTTCTTCCATCACTGGAAATGATTAAGAATAAACATATTGCAAGAGAAAATTGAGGATAGTTAGGCCAAATTAAGTTCTAGCGAGCATAAAATGTGTACTAATCAATCGCGAATTTAATTTGATTTGGAATGGTTTATCTTTAGGCGAAACACATCACGGAGAAGTTGCAACCAATCCTCATTCAGCACCATAAGTACAACTGTAAATTATTTGAGTTAAAAACCTTAGAAGGTCCTTAAATGCGCTCTCTTGAGATGTCAGAGTGGAAAGGAGACGTTCAGGCACCACGTGATCATTCTCAAATGTATTGATGGAGCATGCCAATAGTAAGTTGATAAGAGTGATGGACATATATACCAGTAGAATACTTGATGTTGACTCTACATTAATGTGGTGAAGGTATGTGATGAAGATATTCGTGGGTCGAGCTTACAGGAAGATGAGTGCAGTGGCTCGATTATAATAGAAAGTCCGGATTGACGCAACCCACGGTGATAGACCTATTAATCTCTTCATCACGCCTTTATTCAAAATAAAAGTCTGGTTAGCCCAAAATTTACTAAGAGACTAATCGAAAAACAGTTATCCACAAATATACATTAGAATACTTGTTCAAGGAGACATCAATAACGATAAAATATGTTGCTTTTAGAGTCAAACATTAAAGTGAGGCTTAGAAACCCAACTTCTAATTATAGTTAAGCAATTTTTTTCTAAATATGTTCTGCTGTTAAAATGCCTTACTCCTCATCATAAACAGCTTTCTCCTTCATTATATTAGCATACATTAATTGTACACAGTAACATAAAAGCCTTTTTGCCATTAAATATCCCTTTTAGTACCCAGAAAATATTATAACATGTTTGCGTATAGGCTTAAGTATCATACAGCTAAATTTATTCAGGTTATATGTCACTTAAAGTTTAGTTTAAATTATGAATTTTGGCTGTTGTTCTAGCGTAACTTCGGCAAGCCATATAGTGTCCCGTACTACTATGTAAGAGTTGATTGGCCAAGTATCAATTAATTTTCTTACACTCACCTCCAGGAGCAGGTTTTATCAAATCCCTTCAACCGTCACTATCGAATAACCTCTGTTAGCGTATACTATAATGTTTTCAACTATATTCAACTGTCCGGCCCATCTTATCCGTATAGTGAATCTTATTTAATATCGGGTTGACTCAAATTTGTCAGATTTCGGTGTTATTTATTTTCAGTTTACTGCTTACTCTATATTGCC